TATTATTATAATTACAAGTATCATCATCATCATCATCATCATCATCATCACCATCATCATCATCATCATCATCATCATCATCATCATCATCATCAACATCATCATCCAGCGTTTTCCCATCAGACAACAGTATGAGTGGCCATTGAGTTTTACATTCCCATCAAACATAGCACAACAGCTGACTTACTTGCGTTATTCCAGCAGCCAACAGAAAACGAGGCCGTTAAGTTTTACATTCCCATCAAACATAGCATAGCGGTAGACTTACTTGCGTTCTCCCACCAGCGGAGTCCTGCACAGAACTCCTGCTCACAGAGGCGGCGATAGGGTAGCAGGAGAAGAAGGAGCCAAAGAAAGTACCCATGCCGTACCCGATCATCTCCTGGGGACGGTCAAAGGAGGGTTTGGGCGTTAATTTAAGGGTAAAAGTATGCTATACCCCCCCCCCTTTATCTTTCTGATTTCTTGTTCTTCTTGTTCTTCTTGTTCTCCTTCTTCTTCTTCTTCTTCTTCTTTTTCTTCTTCTTCTTCTTCTTCTTCTTCTTCTTTTTTTTCTTCTTCAGTGAGCAACCTGCTTTACATCATTGCAGCTGACATAGTTTTCTCTCGAGTAGAATTTTTAGATACAATCGAAATTATCTGAGACAGCCACCCGTTGCCGGGGAGAAAAATGATTGTCAGAGACAGGTGGATGTCTTATACCGTCTTATTACTACTCACTATAATGTTTTAAAAAAAAACGTCCAGGAGAAGTGGGACGGTAGTAGTAGCCGTTTGTACAGGTAATTGTCTTATACAGGTGACTGTCTTATACAGGTGAGTGTTTTATACAGGTGACTGTCTTATACAAGTGACTGTCTTATACAGGTGACTGTTTATACAGGTGACTGTCTTATACAGTGACTGTCTTATACAGTGACTGTCTTATACAGGTGACTGTCTTGTACAGGTGATTGTCTTATTTAAACAGGTGGCCGTTAGAGCAGGATTGAGTATACGCCTATTATGTCGCAAGCCTCAAAACTATCATGCTATATCGATACCTTATTGGAGTCGATGTCGTAGTGATGTTTCTTGGCCATGAGTACGGCCAGAGAGACGCTCTGTGCAAACGCCACGATACCCACGATGACGCAATCCACTCCGTACTGGGACACGTTGGTGAAGGCAGGTAGCGCAGGCTCAGGTAAGCTGGGGACAAGGCGAGAGAAATAATTATAGAGTTACTCGTTGAGTAAAACGTAAAGTTGTTCCCGCATCCTATCCGGACATTAGGGATTGCCTGGTTAGTGAGACAACTTCTTGGGCTACTAGCAAGTAAGATACTAATAAAAAGAGGAGAGATGTTGAATTACAGCTGTTCCCGCATCCGATCCGGACATTGGGGATTGCCTTCTTTGAGAGACAACTTCCTGGGGCCATCGGCATATTGTGGTAGGGTGGCCAGTTCCTTTCCACGCCGCCTTTACTTCCCCAACTC